TAAAAAAAAAGTTTGTTATTGATCGGCATTATGTTACATCACCTAATTTTGATTTAATTAGGGCATCTCACACCCCACTGACTTATGTCACATTAAAAAATTTATCAATAGGAAAAAACTGGTTTTTTAAGGATAAAGTATCTCTAGTCCATATGACTCAAATAATAATAAAATATCATTTTTGGTGATTCATCATCATCCAATGTTTTTTTTATATTCTGCAATAATAAAAGAATTATCAAAAAAAATCGTTGAGTTATAGAATGGATGAACAAACACAAAATTCAACCACCATTATCAATGTAACTTCTGATGCAGAAAATAGTGAACACACCTTTTACGAAAGTCCTCCTCCACAACCTCCTTGTTCACCTACAAAAAAACGAAAAGCTAATAAGGGTGGTCCTAAAAGTAATGAAGTCTGGAATTATTATAACAAAGGTCAAGAGAAAAATGAAGGCCATTATTCAGCAACATGTTATTATTGTAGTAAAACTTGGGCAAGGGGTAAACCTGCAAAATTGAAGGCACACCTAGCTAATGAATGCTTGCCTTGTCCACCAGATATCAGTAAATTTTGGAAAGATATACTTGCAACAGAAGTGGTCAATTATACTCGTTTAAAAAAAACTCCTACTATATCTCTTCCTGGTATACATGCACTACCAAAACAACCACATATAACAGATCATTTTGGTTCAAAAAAACCTCTGCCACCATCTGTTACTGAAAGAATTGATCATGCTTTGTTGAAAGCATGGGTAATGGCTGGTATACCATTTGAAGTCATAGAAAATCCATTTGTTATAGATCTGTTTAATGAACTTAACCCAGGATATACACCACCATCAAGAACAACATTATCTGGTCGGCTTTTAGATCAGGAAGTTACTAGAGTCAATCTAAACATTGAAAAAGAGTTGGAGTCTTCTGATAATTTAACATTGAGTAAGTTTCTAATTTTTTGAAATTCAAATAATTAATGTAATAAATGTATGGGGTTATTTTTCAAAATAATTAATGATTTGTAAAAATAACATTATATATTTATGATATTTTCACAAAATTCTTTTTTGATTTTTATATGATTGTGAGAATTAAAAGTAATTATTAATTATTAATTAATTATTTTAGCATTAGATGGTTGGACTTCTAGGAGAAATGAATCTTTATACAACTACATTATCTCTACACCATCTAGGAAAGAATACTTAATAGCATTAAAAAATTATTCAGGTTTTTCTCACACTGGTAACTTTCTTGCAAAAGAAATTTCAGACATTGTAGAACAAATTGGTTCAGATAAATTTGCTGCTGTAGTTACCGATGCTGCTCCAGCATGTTGTGTTGCATGTGAAAAAACTGAAGAAATGTATCCTCACATTTGGGATATAAGATGTGCGGCACATTCAATCAATTTAATAGCAGCAGATCTTGTCAAAATTGATGATATCAAAGAATTTATTACAAAATGTGGAAAAATCACAAAATTTTTTCACAATTCTCACCAAGCATGTTTTAAGTTACGTCAAGGATTGCAGCAAATGAAAATCAGATCTGAAGGGTTACAAACTTGGGTGAAAACAAGGTGGGGTTCACTTTATATGACAACTGATTCTATTTTACGTGCAGTACCAGTGTTTGATTGGGTATGAGTTTTTTATTTTAAGACAATTGTAATTTAAAATTTTTAAAGTAATATTCACAATTTTATATTCATTCATTAGATAATTGTTGAAAATAGTGATGTAATTTCAAATGATGAAGTATTGTTTTTACTACAAAATGAAGATTTTTTAACCAAATGCCGCCATGTTCGTTCAGTTTGGGAACCTATTAAAAAATGTATAGACATACTAGAATCAGACACAGCCACCTTGGCAGATTGTTTTGTTTACATGATCAAATTAGCTGTTGCAATTTTCAACTTACCAGACTCAAATCAATTTAAAATCTCTGCAATCCATATATTTAACAATCGCTATATGGAATTTCAACATCCTGCTTATTTACTATGTTATTACATTCACCCATTCTACAGAGGTTTGAAATAGTTTATATGGCTCAAATTATCCTTTATTATTATTTATTATTATTTATTTTATAACTTAATGTATTAATTTAAAATTAGGTTGTGGTTTACGAAATGGTGGCTTTAGGGAGGCAGCATTAGTTGCTGTTAAGTTGTGGAAAAATTTAAACCACAGTGAACAAGAAAGTAATGAATTAATTTCTCAACTACGAAAGTTTGAAGCAAAATTACCTCCTTACGACTTACCATACATTGAAGGAATGGACACACCTGAACTTTGGTGGGGTTCAATTAAAAATAAACCTAGCCATTTATCTGAAATTGCAATCAGATTATTTGGAATAACTCCAACTCAAGCAAATTGTGAAAGGAATTTCTCTACTCTTAAATGGATAATAGGAGATCATAGAACTAGACTTGCCATACAGAAACTTGAGAATATTTCAAAAATTAGGTCTTACTATTTAACCAATATAAAAGCTGAACTCTTGTATTGTGATAAAGAATCAACTAGCAATGAATTAAGAAATGCAGCAAATGATTCATCAATTGGGACTTTAATGAATTTAGAATCAGAAGATGATTATTTAAATAATGTTAATTTAAATAATAATTCAATTCAGGCAAGAAGCACCTTAATAATTGAAGACATTGTTGATTTTAATTTTTTTAATAATAATGAAGTAAATGAAAATGAGATTAATATAGATAATTCTTATAATTTGGACTATGATCCTGAATTATTAATAAATAATTTTTTAAGTAATGATGATAATAATACAAATAATTAATAAATAATTTTTTTCTATATACACAGTGAGTCTCGGTATAGCGGATAATTTGGGCAATTAGAACAAAAATTTCAAAAATCCGTTATACCGAGATTAATTCAAGATTTAATTAGTAAATCCGTTAAACCAAGAGAATTTACTTATAGACGGTTCTGAGCTTTGATCCGTTAAACCGAGAGTTTTATTAGACATCCGTTATACCGAGGTCCGCTATACTGAGACTTACTGTGTATATGTAATTAAGACTAAGATTTTAATTAGGTTTTTTTTTTTGAAGAATAAAAAATTAAGTTTTTAAATCATTTGAAGAAATAAAATTTTTGTGTTAATTATTTTCAGAATGACATACAGCATATTGGCAGTTACATTTGCATACAGCACAACATACGGCACATGGCATAACGTATGGCACATGACAGTTACGTTTGCATACAGCACAACATACGGCACACGGCATAACATATGGCACACGGCATAAGATACGGCACACGGCATAAGATACGGCACACAACAGTTATATTTGCATACGGCACAACATACGGCATACGGCATAGCATACGGCACACGGCATAAGATACGGCATACGACCATTCGACATTTAGCTGCTAAGGTCACAACCTTTTTACGTCATATAGGTGTCGTAAGAATAGGTTACAACTCGGCAATATGTTTGCACCCTTACTAATAAATGATCACGTGCTGGACCGTATCCTTAATAATTTTATAAAGAATCCCCAAAGTTACATATTAATAAGGGATCATAACAATAATAGAAAACTCGTGATTGATTCCATATAGAAGATTGGGCCTTCCAATGGATTTATTACCACTAATATTTAGATTATCATTGATGTTATTGTATACACTACTGCTAATACTACTGCTACTATAATTGCTATTAATATCACTGTTATCTACATCATCATTAACAACAATACTATTATTATAAATCAGATTTCTATTCATTATTAATTTTTTTATTTTTTTTAGTTATAATAATCCTATTATTGCTGCTTCTGCTAGTACTATTTATAATATTGTAAAATTTCAAATCCGTGTATCAAATCAAAATCATGTATTTTTCATCCGCAAATTTGCGCAGCATCATGAAAATATCCAATTTTATTGGTGGATTGGGTGGTGTTATCCTTATTTAGAAATTGATTTGGCGATTTGCGGATGATTTTTGCGGAAAAATACATGATTATTAACAAATCGGGTTTTAAAAATATCTCGACTTTCTAATAATAAACTTGAACTTCACTATTAAGATAAAAAGAAACTACAACATTTAAGCTTTCTAACCATATATTTTTATATCTGAGAACGCTCCCTATATAAAGCTATGGCTATTTAAAAGTAGTG